TTCAGCCTAAGGCTCTACACCACCCCCAGGGAGGCCGAGCCTCTGAGCCACAGTGGTCAACTCCCCAACCAGCCAGTCCTTCTCACCAAGAACACAGAATGTTCCCTGCTCTGTCTCTGGTGAATCCTCTCCACCCCCTGCACTTCTGGCCTGTGCCCCAGTTCTTGTATGCATAAATGAATCTTTAAAAAAAAAAAAAAACACAAAGTGTTCCCATGGCCAAGATAATTTCTATCCTGGTGGTGTAACTCGGATCTCAACTCCAGACTAACCATCTTTAGCTAGCTCCCGAGTGAGAAATTTGTTTAATTCAGCTTTGAAGATGCCATTCTGGAAAAACTTGCTCTTGGAAATCTGCACCACCAAGAAAGCAAGACTTCCTGATTCTTGAATTGCTGGGTTTTTTTTTCTTTCCAATTTTGGAAAATTTTCATCCATTATCTCTTCAAATACCCTTTTTGCCCTATCCTTTCTCTCCTCTTGTATGATTCCTATCACACATGAGCAATTACATTTCCTTCTATTTTCTATACCTCTTATCTCATATACTTTCTTTTTGACTCTCTGTGCTTAAATCTGGATACTTTATCCTGGCATATTTTTAAATTCACTAATTCTCTTTTTAATTCTCTTCATTATATTCCTGATTTTGTATATATTTAGTTCTAGAGTTTCTTTTTTGATTCTTTTCCAAATATACTATGACTCTTTTAATATTTTTCTGTTCTCTGTCACAATGTTTGATTTTATATTTTATTTCCTTGAACACAGTAGTTATTTTATAATCTGGACCTGTCTACTCCAATAACAGAGCTTCTTTTAGTTTGTTCCTGTTGTGTATTTTCTTCTGCTTCATGTTATCTTGTCTCTTTGTGCCCGGTTACTTCTGATTTCATGATAGGCAATGTGCTTGAAAAATATTTTTAGAAACAATTAGAATTCTAAGAAAATGTTTTCTTTCTCCAGAATGAATTTACATTTGTTTTTGGAAGGCATCTAGGGATTCTAGCAATCTAGGGATTCTGTGATAATCAAACCAATTTTAGTGATTGAAATGATTGAAAGCTGAGCAGCAGTTTCTGCAAGGATCTATATCCAATATACTTTTACTTGCAGAGTTTGATCTTTTGAGATCTCAAACCAAAGCGTGGAGAGAGGTTTCCAGGATCCTTTTTGGGGTCCTGGACTACATTTTTTAAAAAAATTTTTTTTTTAAAGGAGAGGACTCTCTTGTATGTGCTTTATTTATTTATTTATTTATTTATTTATTTTTTATTTTTTTAATTTATTTTTTTTTTTATAGAGGCATGTTTATTTCTTTATTTGTTTTGTTTGTTTGTTCTGTTTACACATGCACTGGGTACAGTCAGAAGCGCGGGAGGGTGAGAGAATTCACCAGAGCCAGAGTGGGGAGCAGAACAGGCAGATCGACGAAATACACTGCTGAGGGGAGCAGTGAGCATGGCAGGAGAGGTCTGTCGCGCCATGTGGGACCCTGGCTGGTGGCCGGGGATCAAACCGGCGCTGCAGAGGCTGAGGGCAGCTTCGCAGTCCAGTGCCCAATCACTGCGCCACCAGGGGAGGCCCCTGGACTACATTTTTTAACCCTCAGACTTATGAAATTGTCAGAAGGGCTTCTTAGCATTCCAGCAGCCTTATTTAGAATTGGCAGTTGTGCTCATGGGGAAGTGGCCTAAAATACTAGTCTTACTCTTCTGGATTTTAGTCTTTTTCACATCTCATCCAAGTAATGCTTTGTAACATTTTATTGTTTCAATACTAGCATGCTTTTCTCATTTTCTCTGGTGATAAGTTTGTTCCAAATTATTTTGTTCACCATTGTGAGAAAGGAACCTTCATTTTGAAATGGTTCTTTTTCTTTTAGAAGTGTATGTATATATTATGTATATATATATATATATTTTTTTTTTTACTCATATTTGAATTAGTTGGAGTTTCCTAAACCAGCTATTAGCATATAGTTCTGGTAATTTGGAATGGTTAGGCTCTCTTTCTTCTCATTTCACTTTAGGTATGCTTTATGCCTTTTTGTTTTCAAATTCACCTTGTTGCACACACTTCACAAAAGTTGGAAGACTCAGAACCATTCTTATATTCTTATACTGTGTTTCTACAATAACTAGGAGTCTCCCCATTCATTTATAATGTTACCTCTGTATGTTTTCAAATGTCTGTATATGTGTAAGCCTCTCTCTGGGTTCCATATTCTATTTTATGGATTTGTTTCTATACAAATAATCAAACTGAATAATTATAGCTTTACAATGACTCTTGATATCTGGCATTACCATGTGATAGCCAAAATAATTAATAAGCACATTGATCAATGAGAATAGATGCTGGCCACAAATCCAGTGTGTGTGTGTGTAAAATAAGTAATATTTTACTATATGTATAAAAAAATATATAAAATTTATAGTACATACCTGGAGGATATACACACACCCAAAGGAAATAAGTGTGTGTGTGTGTGTATACACACATATCACCTGCAAAGGGATAGCTAAAGATGTGTCTGGGTGTGAATGAGATCACTCAGAAATACTGACTGGATATCAACTTTATTCCATGTTGCAATTTTTTTCCGTGAAAATTGTCCATTATTCCTGGTCCTTAACTTTCCAAATTTAAAAAAAATTGGATTTTTAACTGGAATCACATCAAATCTACCAATCAATTTTACATTGCTGCAGTATTGTCTTATTTATGTAAATGTTATGTATCTACATCTGGGTCATTTCATGTCATTCAAAACAAATTAGTGCTTTTCTCTATAAAGTTCTTATATGTCTCTCATTAGATTGATTCCTAAAACCGTATGATTGCCAGTAAGAGTTTTCCTTGCCACTAAAGGAATCTTAACTAATACAGGTAGGGTGTCAGGAAATGATGGATAGCGCATTTTTAATGAACTGAACAATGGGGAAATTTTAAAAATTTAAAACCAGGAAGCAGATATAACCTGAGTGAAGTTCACCTTGATGACTCTTATAAACTCAAGGCAGGTATACCAGGATCTTGCTTTCAGTTCAGGGAAGATCTGACAGGCCTATACAAAGATAATGGCAGTGCAGATGGAGAAGAGGAAATGGATCTGAGTTATGATGTAGAGTGGGCTTGGCTTGGTGACAGATTTGAATTCAATTATGGTAGCTAGGAAGGAGTTAATGATGATTCCCAGATTTCTATTCAAATGGCTAGAAGAAAAGTGGTATAGGAGTAGAATGGGGAGTCATGAAGATGGTGAATTCTGGTTGGCATGTGAGTTTAAAATACACTGTGGATATGCTGGTGGTATGAAGTAGATGAGTTTGGAGCTCATCGGAGATAAATAGATGATAGATAGAGCTGAAGATATGTTTGAGTGTAAATGAGATTACTTAGAAAATACATATAGAAAAGAAGATAAAACACTTGGTTGGGAAATGGGAGTTAGTGATGAAATTGGGAATCATGAAAGATAAGAGAAAACTCAGGGAAGAATAGTGTCAGGGAAGAATTTCAAGGGGTGCGGCCAGTCTCAAAATACAAGGAAAGGCCAGGGACTTGGGAGCATGTGAGTGATTGTTGGCCTCAGTGAGGGCAGCCTTCATGAAGATTAAGGCCAAATTGCAGGGTCCTGAACACTGAATGGGAAGTGGGGAAATGGAGATAAACTTGTAGTCTTTTCAGGCAACCTGACTGAGAAAAGGCAGGTTTTTACTTTGTTTAAAGTAACGGGAGGTTGTGCCTGTCTGAGAGAGAAAGGAGCCATCAATAAGGCAGTCTTGAAGAGCAAGGAGAGAGGGAAAAGACTCAGCATCAAAGAGTACTCAGCTTTATCTGGATGTCTGAGTGTGGTGTCTAAGAGCAAGATCATACTGTGCAGTGTGAGGCAGTGCCAATGCCAGGGTACAATATAGGATGGAATGAACCAGGTGAACTTGGCACCACAGTCCCTGGTACAAACCCTGGTTGATCCTAGCTGTGTAGCCGTGAACAAGTCATTTAGCCTTTCTATGTGTGTTTCCTCATCTCTCAGATGAGGATAATATTGACACCTACCTCACTGGTTGGTATGAGATTTAAATAAATTACCATCCCATGAAATGCCAGACATAGCAAGCACCTAACAACATTCCCTTAGATGGATCTCCACAGTTATCTTCAGTTTTCTGACAAGGGAATCTATATAAACATCTGCTTATTTTCACTAAATTTCTATGTTTAAATATTCTTTCATAAAAATAGGTTATCCACATACCACCAACATGCCCATTCCTGTACATTCACCAATGGGGCAGAGGTGCTTCACTTTCCAGTGGGTCTGCCTGCCAGCTGCTCTGTACACACACACACACACACACACACACGCACACATGCACACACACAGAGCCCACTCCTTTTTTTGAGTGGTATAAAGTGAGCCATGAAGAATTTATTAACAAAAAAGAAAAATCACAGCTAAGTATCAGCTATTTCAGAAGATTTAAAATAAATTCTAGAGAGTGGTTATTTTGGGAAAGGGCTGAGATGGGGCACGGGGTAGAGGTAATATTTCATCTCTTAAAAAAAATGAAGCAAATTCAACTACTGCAATGTGAGAAGGCTGGATGGTGGTTCTACTCTGTTAATTATTTTATTCTCTCCACTTTTCTGTTTAAAACATTGGGAAAAAATTTTAGAAGTACGTACAGTGGTAGGGAGGACAGCATAGATGTGATTAGTGTACATTAATAACCGTGAAAATCAGCAAAGCTCACGGACATGTTAATTGAAAAATCAGAATACACATACACATAAAAAGGACTCATCAAAAAGAATTTTAACAAACCACCATGAGGACATATATAGACATGTGTACATATATTTAGACATACGAATATATATGAGTAATGAAAAATTAAACATTTCATTGAAATTAGTTAACATGTATTTGTTATACATATATTACAAAAGAATATTAATTTACAGATTTTATAGAGAAGAAAATACAGATTGATTGTAATAAAGCACTCAACTCCTGCCTTCTTTATGAAAAAAAGTATGTGATGCACATTGTCACGGCATTATTGATTAATCTTACAAATGATATTGACAAAAACTATGAAAATCTAAACTCTAGAGTGGTGGTAATGTTGCTACCAGGTGTGTATTTCTACATTAATATAAATTAAATCCAATCACTATCCATATATAATCCCTTTGCACCCTTTCTGTTATCATTGGACTTTCCTCATCTGCTGGCCTATCCCCATACTAACCTACTGAGGTGCCGAGAAAACACCAGATTCCAAGAGAAGAGTAGCTGGAGAGGGGAGCTGCCCGCTCTCTCTCCCAGCGTCCATTCACTCCTTTACCCTTATTCCCATTAGGGCTGTTTTGCATCCCTAGCTAATTCATAGCAGAGCAGCCCCAACTCTGTGCCAGGGAATAAGTCTGGGCCCTTCCCTGCCCTCTGGTGGTGACAGAGAACACAAGTAGTCTGGTCCTGCGCTGGGTGGGGTGCTGAAGTCACAGCTCAGGTGAAGGGAGAGAGAAGGGGTGGGGAAGTGTTGATTCTGCGCATTAGATGGTCAGTGCAGATCCTGCCTCTGACCTGTCAGCAGTCTGATGACCTTCAGGTAAATGCCTCAAGCTCAGGGGAGCCAGAGGAACATGGTGGATGTGGGGAACCGCCTATCACACTACCCGAAGGACCTGATCAGCAACAGTTTTTTTGTAAAACATTTCAGACAATATTCGCAATAGGATTAAGAAAGCACAGAACCTTACTGCTTCAACGAAGTAAGGTCTTTTTCTTCATCGATTTGAGACAACTTGGTGTCTGTTCCTATAAGGTTATCCCAATCATACAAGTTCGGATCAAGAAACAAGCACAGGCATTTGAGTTAGCAGCATGTGTGCAGGATCCTTGCTTGAGACCATCCCACAGGTTTCTCTGGGTAAGAAGTAAGAAGGGGCTCCTTTGGTGGGTGCAATAGCAGTTTTATCTCACGTCTCTCTAAGCCAGACCCCTGGTTTTAGCTAATCTGGCTGTGTGCAAACCCTGTGCTCAAGAGCATCCTGCAGGTAGAAGGCACCCACCCTGCCCCTATAGAAACAGCTCAAGCAGGCAGAGCTAGCATCCCTCAACCAGTTTCCCTGAGGATTATGATAAAGGGACTGAAGGATGCTGTTTAAGAATCCCATTTTATTCCTATCTCTCCTCAGGCCTGCCTTCCCCAAGTTTCTGTATCCACCAGACTGGAAACTTTCTGAAAGAAATGCCTGAGACCTCTCAATGTCCTTCCTGTCCCGCACCAGGTAAATGAACTGAAATAATGATCAAAGAAATCCTCATCTAGGACAGCTGCTCTCCACTACTGCATAGCCATGCTAGGGCATGTTCACTTCTGAGCCCACCAGGGGGCAGTCTGGGTGCATGGTGAGATATATTCTCCCAGGTAATACTCTCTCAAGTACAGAGACCCTCTTCCAGAGCCACATGTTCACCTCCTGCTCCCCCAGGGGTGTCCTCTCATGGTCTCAGCTGTGCCATCAATTTTGAGAAGTGTTATTGTTATGAAAATAAGTGGGAGCAGGGGGTGGAATTTGCTGGCGCTTTGGGGGATTAACTAGGGTTTCTGGGAACCAAGTATCACAGTGTTAAGACCACAATATGTATTCAGTAATATTTAAATAATGGTCACATGAAATTGAAGTGACAAGCAGCTCAAAGCAGAAGACAAGCTCTAGGAAAGGGAAATGTGTGAGCATGCATGGGGGAGGGGCTGTGCTGGGACCAGGTTGAGTCCCAGAACTTCTTTGGGCCTTAAAATCTCTTATCCCATATAGAGACACCTTTTGAGGCCTAACTGACCCCTTGGGGGGAGTGACCAGGCTGAGGACGGGGTTTGTCTGGACTGTGTGTGGAGATAGGAGGTGTCATATACCTCATAGTCTGGGCAGGACAACAAAGGGCTACTGCGGGTTTCATTCCCTACCTCAACTCCTAATTTCCCTTTGGGGGCACATACTGAGCCCAACCTGGCTGGGCCCTACTAAGCCCTGTCACTCAGGAGCAAAGGCCAGTCCCCGCAGCTCCCCTATCCCAGGGCCAGTCACTTTTTTTTACACAGGTAATCCATGTTCATTATAGAAAAGTGTCACATCGCTCTTTATTGGACGCCAGCACCAGCACCAGCCCCCTTCTCTCCAGGCACAGGGCACGTGCGCAAGGGGCTCCATCCCCCGGGCGGGATGCAGTGGAAGCCTGGCCCTGCTATCACTGTCTTAGGGCCAGTACCCTCCTCGGTGCCTGGGGGTGCTTGATCAGGTATGTTCAAACTCCTCTTCACAGAAGCCTACACTCAGGGGCTGGGCCTGGACACCTCGCCTGCAAGAGGATATGAAGAATCAGAACTCTTCAGATGGGGGTCAGCAATATCTTCTCCACCACAACCAACATTCTCCTCTCTCCCCATTTCATGGATCTTAAGCTGTCACCATATACTAGAGTGACTCTGGGACCTCACTTCTAGAGATTCTTGCTTGGGCTGGGGCCAACTGTTGGCAGGAATCTGCATTCTGAATAGATGATTTCTCTATAGGGAGACCCAGGAACTTGGGGAGCACCTTTCTATTTCTAACCTTCCTGGCTATCTTCCAGTCCCAAATAACTCATCTACTTGGAAAAGAGGTAGAGGCCAGCATTCTGGGCCCATCACTGAGATGCTGTTTAGTGCAGTGGCATCTGGGGACTAAGGTGTTATCCAGTTCATGCACAGGGTACAAGCATAATGTCCTGTCCATAAGTCTCAGTCTTACAAGTTCCAGGACTTGACCAATCTCCTGAAGGAACCCCTAGACCTGCCTCCTTTATTTTCCAAATAGGCAACATGCTTAGAGATAGTAAGGAACTAACTCAAAGTCTCCCAGTGAATCACAGACACTTGAGGCTTAGACCCTACCACACTTGGCCATTAGCCTGGGTCTGTTCTCTGCACTCGACCTAGTCAATGAATGACCTAGTCAGGAAAATGACCATTTTATGCAGACCCACCCCCAACAGGTTTGTGAGAGTCCATGAAAGCACAGCCATGGCCCAATGCACAGACTCTGAAGTCAGCCTTGTTCAAATTCTGGTTCTGAGCAACTCTGGGGCAAGTTACTTCTCTATGCCCCATTTGCCTTTCTTTAAAATGTGGATTAAACTGTATCTGTCTTAGAGGGGTGTGGTAAAGATTCAATGAAATGACACCTGTACAGGGCTGAGCACAGTGTTTGCCACATAGAAGCCTCTATAAGTGTAGCCATTATTAGCATTTTTGCCTGGTGGGTAAGGGGTCCCTCCCCGTGACCTGCCCACACCCCTTGGAAAGACCTCAGGGCCTACTTACCTCAGCAGCTCACAACGGAAGTTTGTCAAACGTTTAGAGGCAAAGTCCAAGTCAGTCACAAACTTGTTGCTCCATAGCCTCTCGGCAACAGCCCCTCCTCTGGGCCTGGATGAAAGGGGGGTGAGCACCAAGTTAGGTCCTAAACTCTCTACAAGGGGGATGGGCACCTACAAGCGACTGCCTTTTGTTCAGGCACCCTAGGCTGGCTCAGGGTCAAGGGATGAGGACTGAAGCCTCATTTGCATTCGTAACAACAGCCTGGCTGGAGCTCTCCCAGGGACTGCCAGGGCTCTGCTCCCTCTTCATTAAAATGTGGAACATGATTCCACTCCCTCCTCTCCCAAAGATACAGGAGCCAGAGTAAGTTTAACAGCATCATGAACTGTTGCTGACACCAGCACTGGCTGGTGTTCTTCAATTAAACTCTAAAACCAACCAGGCTTGGTGAGGTTGCTGCAGAAGAAGTAAGGCAAAGTCTTATTATAGGAACCATGACTGCAGTGCTGAATCCTGAGCAAATCAGCTATGTGCTCAGTATGTCTATCTGTGAAGTGGGGATAACAGTCTCTATCCCCATACCTAATAGGGTTTTCTTCCACCTGACAAGTGGAAGCTAGGTGTGAGGATGACTGCAATGCCCCTTCTCTCTCAGGTCTGAAAGAGGGGCTAGTCTGGGGTATCTTCAGGGTAGAGTTGGTAAGGCAGATTCCCTTCTCCATGTCCTCAAGACCCACCTTCCACATCCCCAGAGAACCCTTACCAGAGCCTGGGGACCAGGTTTGTGCTGTCCACATACTCTCCCCACATACATGCTTCTCCACCAATCACCAGCTCCTTCTGCTTAGGAGTACCTGAGTGAAAACAAACAATAGGCTGCTGGTGGTGGGTAACTCTAAGGTTTCCCCTCAATCACCATCCCAAGGTGGCCCTCTCCTCAGGAAGGTAGATTTGTCTCCAAACTTGAAATGTCTAGCCCAGACCTTCCTGCCCTCTGCCCAAGCCTCCTCCCTGCTTTCACCTTCAAATGCCAGGGGCTCCACCATGTAGATCTCCTGCCAGTCAGGGCCATAACTTATGCGGTTCAGGTACCAGGGGGCAGAGAGGAGGGCCCGGAAGCCTGCCTTGGTGATCATTTTCAGTTCTTTCAGGTAGCTCACTGGTATCTCTTCTCGCCACACCTGGACAATTGTATCTGGTCGAATCTGTCACAAAAGTTCAAAGAACAGTAACGGCATGTAGCTGCATAAGATTCCCTTACACAGATAGCCCATGCCATGGTATTGTGCCCTCTATTCCCTAGCAGCCAAATAGCTCCCTGTGATTCCTAACCATTGAGCTCCTAGCCCAGCACAGAGACCAAGGACTCCATAGGTTGTAAGAAAGCTACCTGCAGCTTCCTCCCCTAGCCCTTCTGCACCTCCTTGTCCACACTGAGATAGTAATACCGACTATGAGTTAAAGAGACAAAGGCGGGGGGGGGGGGCGCGTGGGGTTGAGGGGGAGGAAGACTCATCAGAAGTTAATGCCTGAGTCTCTAGATGTTTCTGAGGATGGGTCAAGTTCCCTACAGAGTTCCTGCATGTGGCAGGAAGCTGGGGCCTTAATGAACAATAATACATGAGAAGGGAGCCCTGCTCCCACAAATCTGGAAGATTGTATGACTCAGGAAGGAAAACCCAACCCACCACAGCAATACGGAGTAGCCTATTAGCAGAAATAATATTGATCAGTGTAGCAAGGGAAGGTAGGCAGAGGCTCTGACAGCCACAGTTCCGCAACGTTTTGAGGAGAGATATGGCCTAATCCAGACCAGGAATTCATGCAGAGGCCAGGGAAGGGCAGAGAGACCAGAGGGACGTACTGCAGGTGGTTCCTTCTCTCTCTGGCCCTGGCTCACCTTGACTTTATTATCAAACACTTCCTGCCACACCACGTAGCCCTTGCCATAGGCAGAGACAATGTCCAGCAGCCTGGAGAATAAAGAAAGTGCCTGCTTAGTTCAGACAGGCTCTACACTGATGGGGCCAGTGCTCTAGAGGTTGAGCCCAGCTGGGGATCCATTCCTGATTGAGCAGTATTTTCCCCAGTTGGGAACTGACCACTCTAAGCCAAAAATGATAAAAGGACCTCTTTGGAGGTCGAGGAAGTGGTCAAGGAGGGAGTGGCCCCAGTATGAAAAGTGAGGATCCCACAAGAGGTGACCTCCAGACCCCAACCACCCCTCCCCCCTTTCCTCACCTCTGTATGTAGTAGGACTCTAGCTGCTTGAAGTCATCACCAAAGCCTTTCTTCTTCATAAAGGCGTGGACATCTGGGTTGGACTTCCTGAATCCCAGGAGAAAGTGAAGATTAATTCTTTCAATATCCTCACAGTTCAAAGCTTGAGGATAGTAACCTGACCTCCCAAAACTTTCTGCATTTTCACCTAATAAGCTAATCAGCTGAGGAGCTTAGAAGCCCCAAATATGGAAGTTGTGGGTGAGCAAAGCTATATGAAGGGGGCTACTGACATAAGCTGAGAAAGGATTTTAGTCTATCCTTGAAGGGTTTGAATGTCAAACTCTCAAAGAGAACATCTGTTCATCTCTGGACATGTGACTGTGAGTCTTGGCTTGAGCTCTGGCACACTGGATGCTGGTGTCCCTCTCTAAGCATGTATTCTGCTTTTTCCTTAATAGTTATTCTATATTCCAGCAGCTGGATACAAGCACTGCTGTCTGTCAGCTGCTGTAGCTTCCTTGCTCCATAATGTCTACATTTCCTCCTGCAATATTTGTTCCCTACTGCACATCTGGAAAGAGTCCAAGGATTTCCCCAAGTCCACGCCAGTGCTCACTCCTTTAAGAAGCCCCGCAACCTCCTTGAGTTAACTGAATCTGAAAGTGTGGACCTTACAACTTAATACTAATCAGGCAGTGTGATTTATTAATCTCAAATTCATCTGTATCTTGACACTTCAACTGAACTATTTTAACCTTCAAAAGCAGGATTATTTCCTCCCCTACTGGATTTTTCCAAGACAGTTCTGTGCCCAGATCTGTTTTTTCCCATAAGCATCTCAAGGATAAGACAGGCGGAAGGGAGAATTTTACATTCACAGCCTTGCCCAAATCAAGTGGGGTCTCTCTGTAGGTGGGCATAGGAAGGGCCCAAAGCTGCACCATGTGCACTGAGAGAAATTGCTGTGAGTTAGCCCTGGGGAGCACATGAGACAGGCAGTCTCTTGGGTCTGCCTAGGATAGGAAGATTAACGGGCTCATACCAGCATGTGAAGTCGACCTCATCTCCTCCAAGGTGAAGATAAAAATCCGGGAAGACAGAACTGATCTCCAAGAAGAATGTGTTCATGAACTCATAGGTATTGTTGAGAATGGGATTCACGGGTCCAAAAGTCCCAGAGGGCTGAGACCCAGCATAGCAAGGAGTCAATAATCCTGGGATGCCTAGGCCAACAGAGAACCTCACACATGTCACAAATATATTGACCCATGTGCAGAGTCATACACGGAAGGACATGACATCACACAAAGTAAGACGACTGTGTTCATAAACCTTACCCACATGGGCACTTCAGGCACTCACACACACTAGGAGGTTATCATGAGCATTAAGTCACATTTAGTCACAATCAAAGAAATACAAATATATACACAATCATGGACAGAGGCTGGGACAGTGACAGGGCCACACCAGTCACACACACTGCTGCCTTGACACACTGTTTCCAGCAGGAGTCACCCATGCTCCCAATACTGCCCTCCTCTTACTACCTTTAGGCAGAAATGCAGAGAGAACCTAATGCAGCCAAAGTGGCAAAAACTCTCTTTCCCTCTAGGGCACAACCTGCAGGATATTAAGACAAGGACATCTAAAAAGAATCTGCCCATATTTTAATAGTAATAAATGGCTTCCTTTGCCCAAAATAAGTTCTGCCTATCTAAATGCCCAGGTGAAAGAAGCTGATGGAAAACATTAAGGCTGGGGTGTACCACATTCAAGAGTCAATGCCCTGAAGTCCTCCAGAAGGGGATCAGTAGACTCCCTCCAACCCCAGATATTATCCTCACCTGGTCCCCAGGACTGAGTGTGACCAGGAGTGTCAAACTCTGCCAACACACGGATACCCCGAAGTCGTGCATACTCAATCACCTCCTTCACATCCTGCGCTGTGTAGATGTGGGTGAGAGGGTTGTAGGACCCCTGAAAGACACAGACACCCTTCAGCATCTCATTTCAAAGGCTAGCAATGTAGAGGATACTGAAAATGCCTTCAGGACTCCCTAGATATCAGAAAATCTATGCACAGTCTTTTGCTATCAGGGCTCATCTTCATGGAACTTTATTATCATTTTCTCAAGCTATCACATGTACTGTTTCATCTGAGTGTCATAATGCCAGTGAAGTGAACAAAGCAGGCATCAGTGTATCTAACAGACTCTAAATAAAAAGAAAATGAAATCAGGAAAGATTATCTCCTGGAGGTCACAGAACAAATTAAGGCCAAGTTTGGACTCAAAGTTGGGTCTCCTGACTCTCAATCCAGTGCTGCCTTTCTCCTACGTCAGTGTGTCCCTAAAACTGGCTGAGCACAGTGAGAGCCAGCAGGGTCACAGTAAGCCAGGCTCAACCACTTGGTCTGGGCATAGTGGAAACATACCTTTCTGGTGAGCTCTGGAAAGGTGAAGCTCTCATATGGGAAGGCGGAGTCATCAACTATATGCCAGTGGAAGACATTGAGCTTATTGTAGGCCATGACATCCTGTAGGCCAGAGCATACAATTTGAACTCAGCGCATTCTCCAGTTTTAGTCCCTAACATGGGAAGTTGGACAGGCTGGCAAACTGTTCCCTGCACCCCAACAGGCTACACTTGCTCCAGATGCCTGGTAGGTGTTTAGGCGGTCTCTCTAGCCAATCTTCCCCTCAGGGAGCCTGGCCTGGAGGGAAGAACTAGCACAGGGCACATCCAAAGATGGCCAACAAAGCAGTGAGTTAAGTTCTAGCCACACTGAGGAGGGCTGCAGTTACGTGGTACCCTGGATTGTTCCAAAAGCCCCCAAATAGCCAGAAGACCAACAATTCCTCTTGCTATTTGTTTTGGGTCATCTGATTTGTGATGATCCAAACTGTGAGGTCTGTCATGAATGTAGTAGTCCAATAACCTATGAATTTTAGAAGGGATGTTCCATCAGAGGAACAAAGGAAAAGGTAGACACCCAAGTTGGATTGGCAGCTGTCACAAATGACCATCCAAACTCAAGGAAGTTTGGAACTTCCACAGATAAGGCTTTTAAATGTCTCTATTGTAAAACTTCATCCTAACCAAACTAGAGTTAGCTCTGCTAGATGAAAGAAGTCAATTTCCTAGACCACTTTCTATATCCCAGGAGACAGCCTGGATATTGGTCCACAATAGCCAGCGGACCATTTAAATCACTCTTGTTATTTTATTGAGTTTTGGAGCAGGTCATTTTTTACCTTTTTTTCCTGAAGGCTCACAAAGTTACATACATTGTCTCTGTAACTCTTTAGGAACATGGTACCTGGTCTATCCCTAGTCTCAACATCCCATAACCCTAAGGGCAAAGAAGACTATAAGGTGTGGGTACCAGAGTGTCCAGGATGCTGGTCAGGGGCAAGTAATGGCGAGATGTATCCAACAACAAGCCCCGGTGGGGAAAGCGGGGAAAGTCCTCAATCTCCGTCTTGTTGATAAAGAACTGTGAGGGCCAAACACAGAAGTTGTTAGGACTCAAAGGAATTCACTGTAAGGGTGGAGGGTGCTGACTAAAAGACTCTTGAGATCCCTGGAAATCCATCTGTGACTGTTCAGCAAGCTAACTAGCTCCCAAGTGTCCCACACTTACCTCAGTGGCCATCAGTCAGTACCTGCTAGAGACTAACTGTCCCAAGGCAGCCAAATACAGCTGTCCCAACATTACCCAGTCTACAAATCGTGAATTTTCACTGACTGTTAATGTTTATCTTCTTCACAGCATTGTGACCCCCCAGGTCATTACTGAATAATGACTCAGAGTAACTAAGCTATATCCATGCTAAACAGGCCAAACTGACCAACTGGGCTTCTCCCTTGGGGGTCATCTTGAGCCACAAGGACTCTGTCTAAGGCATAATAAGCTATTTCTCTCAACTTTGGGAGCAAACCCCAGAGATTTAAAAGGGGCACTTTTGAGGGGCCATACTCACCGTGCCATGAGGCGCTCTCCAAACAAGTTGGCTAAAGGTCTCCAGACCTGAGGGAAGTGGGGAGGCAGAACAAAGACTTAGGGAGGTGAGAAAAAAGATGCATCCCTTTGGGATGCTCCCAAATGGCAGAGCACAATGCTCAGGCACACGTAAAAATTAACGTCATGTGGGCTTGATGACTGTCAACACTTATGAACTAGGGAAAGAAGAACAAGTACCTATTTTTATTCTATATTTTATTTGAGGAGATGGCAGTATAAGGGGTTTTAGTGCCCCCCTTAACTAACCCTCAAAACCCTCTTATTCCTATTCCCTAAGCCTTGAACTCACAAGAACATTAAGGTTTTCCATGGGTCATGCCCATCACAAGCCGTGGGAAGAGCTGCTTCACTTCTCCCAGATTAAATTGTGAGAAAGTGAGTATCAGCTTGAGTTTCTAAGGAGCCTGGGCAGAATGCAGAAGACAGGGAACTATTGCTTTTGCTCTTCAGAGCTTGACAAGAGTCCTCGCCATTAGGAACAGAGGGGTGGAGGCAGCAGCTGTCCCAGTGCTGCCTGGTTGGCCTCCTAGATCCCAGCAGGGTCCTAAGGCGGCATGTGGAGGCCAGAGCCTTACATGTTCTCAGCAGCTAGAGCTCAGCAAAAGCCCTGTGAAGGATCCCCAGAGTCCCAAGCTTTCAGAATGAAAGATTCTGTGAGATCCCAGCACCTCGTCCATGGCTGATTGCTGGGATACTGTCTTGGTTCCTTTCCACTCTTATTCTGACACCCAGATCAGATCCTACCCAGGGTTCTGAAGTCCTAGATCAGTTCCTACCCCAATCTGACCAGCCATTAGCACCTGCACAAAAGGTACAAGCTGGGGTGCTGGCGTGCAGTTTCTCTAAAACATAGGGGAGGTTGTGGAGGAGCAGGGGATAAGACAAACTAAAACTTCCCCTCATCATTCACCAGCAGAGGCTTTACCAAAAGTAATAATTATTTGACTAAATCTGTATCTAGGGGACATTATCTTTTCATTTAACCAAGAGGAAGGGCACAGGTCTATCACCTGTAAGCTAAAGCCCTCATTTTCTCCAGAAACAATGTTGTTTTATATATTTTCTAACTACCTTTTCTTGGACATTTATCTATTTCTTTTAATAAAATTTTCCTTTTTAAAGAAACTTTCCAATTAACAGTCTTTCGTGAGGGCTGAGCAGGCAGTGTCTGTGGCGGCATCAGCCCCTCTCCCTAGTGGCCTGTCCCCTACTGGGCCCTGAACAGCAGCCTCTGGCTCTCCCACTACTTCTCAGAGCAACCACCTGGGAAGCTTCTGCTGCTGCACAGGCTAAAATCTCTCAATTTCTAGGGATAGTAGTGAGGAAAATACCCCCAGCAGGGAGATAAGGAAACAGTCCAGCTGGTTTCCAAAAGAAAATTTCCTAAAGTCAGGTATTTGGGCCCTCATCTGTCCACCCACCTCCTCCATCCTCTGTCTCTGTCTCTGTTTCTCTCTCTCTCTCTCACTCCCCCCACCCTTCCTTCCTCCCTCCAGACATCAGCCCTCCTGCTTACCTCGGAGGGCTCCCCAGATAGTCTCAGAGAGGAGGGAACACTGCTCGTCATTTATAGTCAGGGTGTCTGAAGTGACAGAAATGACCCCATTTGATTAGGGATTTCTTTTCTCAGATTATAGGTAACATATTCCATATAAATTCTTGGATTAAAACACAATAGCACCTGGTGGCGCAGGCGGTTGAGCGCCACACTGTGAAGCTGTCTGCAGCCCCTGCAGCGTGGGTTTGATCCTGGCTGGCCGGCAAGAATCCCACATGGCGCAGCAGACCTCTCCTGTCTCACCCGCTGCTCCCCTCAGCAGCATATTTCGTCAGTCTGCCTGTTCTGTTCCCAGCTCTGTCTCTGGTGAATCCTCTCACCATCCCGCACATGTGGCCTATACCCTAGTTCTTGTATAAATAAACAAATCTTTTAAAAAAAAAACAACTCTTGCCCCCCCCCCAAAAAAGGCACAACAGTGTGACTATTTTTCAAAAAAGTCTTTCAAAGAGGAGACATCCATAGAAACAAACAGCAGCAGGTCAGTCAATCTGGAGTCAGAGAGGGAGAGTGGACACCCAGTGGCTCTGTGGGCCCTGGAAATGATGTGAGATGAGGGTCAGGCTGGAGCAGAATCCTCTGCAAAGCACCACCCACCTTATGGGCCAGTTTCCCCCACCAGAAACATGAATCCTACTCAATGTTAGCTGAAAGCATGAAGTCTCTATTGACAAAGCGGGCAAGAATGCTTGCAGGGGTAAGTGCAGCTTATGATGTTTCCAAGGCCTTTGTCATCCCCTTCCTTTTCCTCTGTCTCCAGGGTGCAGCTTCTTTATCCAAGAATGAGAGGAAATTACATGCTCACGTTGGAGACTGAGAAGTCCCTAAATGTTGCTGCTCAAGGAAGACAGGAAGCCCTTAGGGACTAATGACCTGGCTTCAGTCTCAGTACAAAGGACAAAAACCCTTTCTCTCCACAATGTCAATCTCTTAGAGAAATGAGGAAAGTGTACCCATTCCTAAATTGGCAATGGAATTATATACAGTCCAATTATGTACAGTCCAGAAGTCACACTGTTGTCCTGTGGGACTCAACCTTCAGACACTAATTAGAGCACATGAAAAAAAAAAACCTCTCCTGGTGATGGTGCATGGGTGTATTGGTGAAGGGAATTCCATGGAGACTATATCTGGAGGAGGGGAAGCAAACATTGTTTAAAAATGAATAATGATGTAAAAAACATATAAATAAAATATAAAAAAAAAAAAAACAAAAAACCTCGCCTTCTATGGCTCATGGTACTTAGGGTCCCTCGGTCCTCAGTCATGAAGGGTTCCACGTCTAGTATCAGCAATCTAGGCCCAGCCATCCAGAGTTGTAGCTCCAGACAAGTGCTTGCTCTTCTAGAACAGGGGACAAAGAGGTACTTACAATTCTCGGCTGACTCCAAAGAAGGAAGTTGTTCACAATCAGCAGTGGCCACATAGATAATCAAAGACGACTTCTCTTTTACATGCTTTTTTCCTGCAAGAAGAGGGTAAACTCAGTGTGACTGATCTGCCACCAGCAACTAGCTAGGAAGTTTATACATTGCTAGAATGTAAACCAATCATGTCAGAGTAAACAGTATTCAGTTCTACATTTTTATATAACAATATTTTCCTGAGGAAGGAGTGTATATCTCTCACCTTACCACAAACTGGCACTTTAAGTAGCACTGCTCTTGAGGGCTCCTGATGGAGGGTTTCCAATTTTGTAAAAGCCCAGGAGCTAACGTGAGCAGATGAAGATGTCAGGAGGGTCTCCTATTCAGACATTGCCTGAGATGGCCCAGCTGGTGCCCCAAGGAAGACACATGACAACTTGCCTGCTCTGCTTACTTTCTTCCTCTTCCCAAACAGGAAGAGGGACTTCTGCCCAGCAGTGGAAAGCCACGCTGTGTGAGCCAACATCGGATTGAATATGGTTCTACAGATCCCAGTCTATGTAGGGAAAAAGTGCCAAAATCAAAAACTAATGCAGGGTCTCTTTCCCCTGTTACCATTTCTTCTTTGTGACCTTCAGGGTGGTTCTGGCTCTACTGTCCCAAGCCTGAACCTCAATGAATTCCCCCCCTCTATTCTTTTCTGGAGGTACATGCATCCCCACTGGGACAACACCCAGGACTTCCCACAGAACTACACAGTCAGTGACAGGAGGGACTGGCAGACGGCAGGGAGAGAAAATTCAGAACCAAATTGTTATCCCAAATATTATGTATTTCTAGACAGAAGGAACCCAAGAGACTTGAACCATCTCAAGGAAGCCAGCTCAGGCCTCCTGAGCACCTGGCTGCATCTCAGCTCTCAGACCTTCCCAGAAGCGAGTCCTAACCATCATGAACATATTCTTTTCCCTCCCAGTAAATACCCTGTATCTTCATACAAATGCCGGCCTAAGCTCTCGCAGGAAAAAAAAATATTAAACTAGTTGGGACCAGACCAACTCACAAATCCATTCTGAACCCTAAAAACTCATCCTCAGCATGGAATGACAACCAAACTTTCAGGGCAGAGACCACTTTCAAACCAGAATCTGTCAGGTCATCCCACGCAGACAGGTCTGAAGCATGGTGACCTGAGATCAGCAGTCTGGGGATCTTAGTAACAACCTTTTGCTCAACTTCTGGTATGCAACTCAGTCCCTGATATGAATCTTTTTTTTTTTTTTTTTAAGATTTATTTATTTATACAAGAACTGGGGTACAGGACAGAGGTGCGGGAGGGTGAGAGGATTCACCAGAGACAGAGCAGGGAACAGAACAGGCAGACTGACTGAAATACACTGCTGAGGGGAGCAGCGGGCGAGACAGGAGGGTGTGCTTCACCATGTGGGATTCTCGCTGGCCGGCCGGGATCAAACCCGCGCTTCTGAGGCTGTGGACAGCTACACAGTGTGGCGCTCAACCACCTGCGCCACCAGGGAGGCCTGCCTGATATGAATCTTGCTTCATGTTAGACCATGTACTGCCATGAGGCAGAATGGACCTGAGGGGTCCCATGACTACTGACCCTTTACTCACTCCTTGGTATGCAACTATATGACTCACTTCTTGGTATGTAGCCATGTCCTATCTGACCATGTACAGCTGCCAATGCAAACCCACCAGGAATCTTGTAGAAACTGAAAGTGTATATAAGCCCCTGACTTCCTACAGACTGGGCTCAGTCTTGGGATGTGAATCCGGTGAGTCAGCACGAGTATATTAAATCTCCTTCTTGGTAGCCCTGGTGTCCAAGTTTGCTTTATGTCATATAACAGGTCAGAGCCCAAAGACCAGGGAGGGCTTAATGGAGGGCCAGGAGTGAGGACAACTGTATGCTTTCTCATCCCCACTCCATCCCCCCACATCAAGGAGAAACACATCTTTCAAATCTTCCCTGCGGAGGTCATCTGCTTATCTACCCAGGTGGCCATTGAAAAGAGGGCAAAAGAGGGCCTCCTTGGTGGCTCAGGGGTTAAGCCTCAGCACTGTAAACCATGAATTCCATCCCGACAGGGAGCTAACCCACATGGCGCAGCAGACCTCTCTGTCTTGCCCACTGCGCCCCTCAGCAGTGTATTTCCATAAAATGTGCCTGTTCTGCTCCCCACTCTGTCTCTGTGAATACACACACACACACACACACACACACACACGCACACACACGCACACACACACACACTTCTGGCCTACACCTCAGTTCTTGAATGCATAAATAAATAAAAATAATTTTTTAAAAGATTTATTTATTTATGCTTACAAGAGCTGGGGTATAGGCCAGAAATGCGGGGGTAAGGGGATGAGAGGATTCCCCAGAGACAGAGTGAGGAACAGAACAGGCAGACTGACTGAAATACACTGCTGAGGGGAGCAGTGGGCGAGACAGGAGAGGTCTGCTTCACCATGTGGGTTGCTCCCTGGCAGGCCGGGGATCGGACTCGTGCTGCAGAGGCTGCGGATTGCTTCACAGTGCAATGCTTAACCCCTTGTGCCACCAGGGAGGCCCCTAAAAATAAATCTTTTTTAGAAAAGAAAAGAGGGCAAAAATCCTGAGCTTTAGCATTAATCTCCCAGGCCTCAGCCTACCAAACTGAGGAGAAATCACAACCAATCCACAGACAACTGCCTGATGACAAGAGGGGCAGCTAGAGCAGCAGATTTATCTGAAATGCCACTTGGAAGATAAAAAACACAATTTTTTTTTGTTGCTAACATATTTTTGTTTTTCTAAACCACACCTGCACTCAATTCCCTAAATTTGTAGTCCTTTAGAGGGTCTCCTTTGAAAACACCTTTGAAGATCTGATGAAAATGAAAGGATTTTATTTCTAGGAAAATACCCCTAATTTAAGGGCTCATCACCCCTACTTCCTGCCTCCAGTCTTATGAAGATTCCTGTCTTAAGTGCCCCCAGGGACTCATCTGAGTTTGGGCAGATAAAGAAACAGCCTGGGCTACTGCTAAGGAAAGCAGGAAGAGGGGTGGAGATGTGACCCTGGTCACTTAAAAGGACACAAACAGAGTGTCATCATTGTGGTTTCCACCCCCAAGCTGCTCTACAGAAGAGAGCAGGAAACAGGCAGGAGACAGGCCAGTGCTCTGATAGACACCCACAGCCGGCACTGAGAGGAGCTCAGGTGTGCGAAGCCAGGGTGGCAAACAGCCCAACCAGTCAGCAGTCTCCTGGGACGCTCATCATGGGCCTGGGTGGGACAGCAGGAAATTCTAAAGCCAGTGTGCTCAGGAAGCAGCATGGAAAACACAGCGGCTCGCTGGGGAATCAGGAAAGGTTGGTTCTGGTTCTGTGCCTGCCATGCGGAGTGGGTCTCAGGGTTCCCATTTCCTCCCCATTGTAAACAGTGGCAGGGTGGGACAGATTCCAACAGTCACAGTCCCCAGAGCCCCCACTCCATGACCACAGCCTCCTAGGCCCACAGCTCCTGCATGCCCCTGCTTTAAAGTTTGTGCTTGTTTGTTTGTTTAATTTAAAGAGTTGAAAAAAAATGATTCAAATGACACAGAAGTGTTTACAATAAAAAAAATTTTTTGGCACCTCCCCCTCAGGCACCCTGTCAGAAGATTAGTTTTCTGTCTGTGTTCCCCCGTTTAAGCATACTTTTGCCTTATTCATCACAGACAGATGAGTTCTGCATGTGGATCTGAGACCCTTTTACTATCAAGGTGGCACTGCTGTACTTTCTCCTGATGCCAGTACTAAGACCCGTCAGTTTCCTGTCTGTTCTCAGTCCTCTCTTGTCTTCACTTCATTCCTTGCCAGCCTGAGGGGGAGATCTATGACTTGATCACCACCTCCCTCTCAGTGGACAATCAGAAGAGAGCTTCCACCCCACCCTCCCTTTCCTTCTCCTTCCTGACAAAAATACCTGCAACATACACCTGATCTTTACCTTCTCCTCCTCCAAGTTCAGTGGAAAGGGTTTCCTTTCATCAGTGTTCAGGATCCTCTTGTATAAATGATTTCTCTTTTTCTAAAAGTCTTCAAATTATTTCTTTCCCATCAGCATGAAAGTGCTTGCAAGCCTTCCTGTCTCAACTGCACATAATCTCAAATAGTCACTTTTTCTCTCTCCTTCTGGTCAGAGGAAAACTCTAGAGGGAATGGAGCCGAGGCAGTTAGGTGTTGAGCTCCAAAGTCAGACAGATCTAAGTTCCAACATTTTCTAGTAATGGGACTCTGGGTAAGTTATTTTTGCTCTTGGAGCTGCAGTTTCCTCATTTGTAAAATGGATATCACAAAGTACCTACCTTGTTGGGCTGTTGGATATTAAGTGAGTTCCTGCCCCCCTCTTCCTCGAGAGCGCAGGGTCCATGCACTTTCACTCAAACATCTCGAAAACACTTTGAATCTTAAAAACAAAACTAAACTAACTTTCCATTCCTCTTCCTGGTTGATCTTCCTTCTCGGTTTGATAATAGCATTATCTACTACTTTACCCAGGCTGGAAACCTCTACTCCCACCTTTTTGAATAGACTCACAAGTTTATTCTCTTAGAATATGTGTCAAACACCGCTAAGCACTGAGATTACCACAGTAAAAAAAAAAAAAAAAAAGAAAGACCAATTAAGTCTCATAACTATCTCTCAATATCATCTTCCAATCCCCACTGGGTCAATGCCTAAATTCAGCCTCTAATAAATTCTCTGCTTAATCACTGTAAAAACCCCTCAAGTTCGTCTCTCTCCACTTCCATCCATACCCATTTCAGTCTATCACCTGTGATCTTTCTTTTCTTTTTTTTTTTCACCTGTGATCTTTCAATCAGAAAACCGGATTGTGACGATCCCTGCTTCCAGTCCTCTAGAGGTTGCTCATGACTTTCAGGATAAAGTCCAGAGCCCAGTGGATCATCACAATCCAGCCTCGTCCTTCTCTGCTTCCATGAAGGAGCTCTGGCAGCAGCACTATGAACTCTTTACAGAAGCCTGAAAAGGCCACATTTCCTCCATATTAGTTTTTTGCACAGATTGTTTCCTCCAGTG